AACTACGATGTAATGAGCCGAGTCAATGCACCCAAGTGAGGGCCGTGCTTTCCTATGGGTGACGGTTTGGGAGATGATCCCAAGCAGGCCCTGCATGGACTCCGGCATGAGCAAAGGTTCCTGACAGCCCCCTAAGGGTGCTCTCAAGTGCCCCAAGCAGGCAGTAGCCCACTGCTGCTTCTCAGCCTGCCGCTCCGCGGCACGAGCGCAGGCAAGCCTGGAGGTGCTGCGCTCCTCACCACCTGCAGATCAAAAGCCACCTGGGCTCTTCCAGTTCCTAAAACCCTCCTTACTTCTGGTCTTCCTGCCCCCATGGCCCCTCTTCTACAGCACTATCTCACAACGTGCGAGGCTGCCAGCCCTCCCTTGTCACCTAATCCCCAGCGACGCACCTCTCGTCTATCCAGGCCTGGCAGGGCAGCCACCAGTCTCTGTGCCCTGCAGCTGCCTCGCAAAGATCAGTCCCTTGTCTGTGCCATCAGCTCCTCCTGCTGTCCCTTTGCTTAAGAGAGAGACTTAACCTGAAGGAAACTAAATCTGACTGTTCCTGGCAGTGGAAATTCTGGTCTTGTCTGGCCACACACAGGAAACCTGCTCCTAAATAAAGAGCAAACCTGCCAGCAGCCATTTGCCAGGGCTGGGCTTGCACACCTGCGGGGATACACACAGTGATGCTGCGTGTTCTCCGTGGCTACACGCTCTGTGCACCAAGCCGGGGAGGGCTCCATTTTGCATAGTAAAAGTGGATAATTACTGGTTTCTCGCACCACCCACAAGATCCCAGCGTTAATACGCAGCGCTCGCAGAAAGGGAAAATTAACTCTACAATGTGTTGCTCTCTCTTGCCCTCAATTTGTGCTAACAGTAAAACACTATTAAATGAAGTGCTTCACAGCACTCTGACATCCCGAGGTGGACGCTTTCCTGGTCAGGCAGGGGCGCTACCGCTCCGAGATGCCCACGCCAGCCCACGCCACTCACCACTTTGTGCAGTTGCTCAGGTCCAGCCCGGCCTGTGCCTTGGTGCAGCGAATGGCTGTGCGAACCAGGACCATCGGGTCCGCATCAGGATCAGGGCCGTCCAGAGATGGGGACCATTCCCCGCCGATCAGCACAGCCTCATCCTCTTTCCTCCCCAGCAGAAACTAGGGAGAGACAGGCGGCGAGCCTGGTCACATCACAGCATCCTGACTGTCTCTCCCTGCGTCCCCAAAGCCCCCTTCCTCCTCAGGGGACACGGTCCCCCAGAGACACGGCTGCGTTTGGCAGATGCCACTCCAGAGTCATTCCAGCAATAAATGCAGGTGGCAACATGCAGCCAAACCTCCTCTCCTGAGCACTTTCCCCCAAAACAGGGGGAATTAAGCAAAGCCACAGAGTTCTGCATACACCACACACTCTCAGCGCTGTTCTCGATGTCCTCACCTTCATTTGCTTTGTGGGGTGCTCAGGAGCCTCCCTTTGCTCACTGGAATCATCGATGTATAACAAACAGGTACGATAAAACTCCTCGAGGCCCGGAGAGGACAGCAGCAGCACCTGAGGGCAGAGCATGCTGCCTGGTCAGACTGGCAGAGGCAATGCCTCATCCATCAGGAAGGCAGGGAGGGCACAAGGCCATCATCTCGTAAGCCAGAGCTGGATGAGGGAGCCAAAGCCGCCTGAGCCAAGGCCAACAGCATATCCCTCCTCTTGGGTGCGCACGCCAGCTGTAAACCAGCCTCACCTTGGCGCTGAAAGCGGAATCCACGTCACCTGGAGCGGTGTCTGGCTCAGCCTCCTCCTCCGGCTCTGGTACCTCCTCCGGGTCAGCCACCAGGATGCGGCTGGGGTGCCTCAGGCTCAGGGGCTGGGTGAGGGGGAACGTGTCCAGCCAGCACAGGCGGACGTCGTAGAAGCCCCGGGGCAGCTGGATGCTGCAGTAGCGCCGCAGGATCTCCATGGCGTCACAGAAGGGGCTGGAGGCAGAGAGAGGGGACATCAAAACTCTCCGTGCCCAGAAACAGTCTCAAAAGCTGCTCGGGCATCTGAGTTCCCTCGTATGGCTGCCAGGAGCACAGCCCCGCACAGAAAACCCCGCGTATGCTTCCTCCCTCCCAGCCCTCTCCCCGCAGAGCGTCTCCACCACAGCAGCACCCCCTGCCCAGCCCTCAGACTCCGACTCCTCTCCCGAGGCAGCCATAAGTGGAAAGAGACCCAACAAACTTATTTCACCTGCCACAGTGCCATAACAAGAGGGCAATGCTACTCTGTGTGGCTCCAGACAGACAGGTCTCCAAGGCTGAGCACACAGATGGGGATCAGTCAAACACAAAGCAGCAGTCTCTAGCATGGAGGCTCCTCCCGCTCGTAGGAAGTCTCAGATACCTCAGTCTAAGTTGGAGGCCTGAACTGGGACCCCTTCCCTGGCTTTGACGCCCCTTGGCAGCCTGTAGGGCTACTCTGCACAGAGCCCAGCGCATAGAAGACAACTGGGGACAGGGCAACGTTTCTGTAGCGCTTTTCAGACTTACATGTTAATCTGAGCTCTGGGTAAATAACGGCCAAGTCCCTGCAGCCCTCTGCTGAGCTACTGAGCATCCCTTCCACTACCAACTGCTCTGGGAGCCTAACTAAGGGATTTCTGTTTGCTGTTTTTCTGTTAACCTTTTGGTAGCCCTGATCCAGCCAGGGATCCAGGCTAAGACATCCGTTCGGCTGAGCACAAAGCCCTGGGCCTGCACAGAAAGACGCCCTGGATGGAGGCGAGCTAAGGTGCTCTCCGCTGCTAGGGAAGCAGGCACACTCACCTGTCCACAGCGTAGCGGGCAAAGTGAACCCGATACTGAGGCAGGTCGTGGCGAGGCTTTTTCGCTCCCCACAGCTCACCACCTTTCTGTTTCCGCTTCTTCGACTCAAAATCGTCCCTGTGACCAACACAGCACGTGTTGAAGGAACGCCAATACGAACTCGCCAAGCACCCGAAAGCACCGTGCGCGTGGCTCACTGCACACAGCACTGCTGGGCGGGAGCACAAACCTGGCAGTGCTGCGACTCTCAGAAACGAGGAGGATCCCTCCTCACCACGGATCTCCCAGAAACCACTAAAAGGCCAGAGCTCTAAGTAGGGAATGGCCCCATGTCCAAAGGCCACAGGACAAAGTGCAGGATACCAAGGGAAGGGGGCTGCCCACCCCACACGGGACAAGCACCCCAGTCCTTACCATCTGCCTGGGTCGTTCCGGCCCTTTGGTCCTCGCCCTGGGTATCTCCCCAGGTGTCCCAGGTGAATGGATGGGGGAGATGGGAAGAGGTTCACTGCTGGAGAAAACAAGAATAATAAGACCGACCGGTACTGCCTGACTCCGATTCTGTCCCGGAAAACCTGAACACCTACAGCATCCCCCCTCACGCTGACAGTCTGTGCTCGCAGCCAGCCAGCCTGCCTTCTTGGGGGTCATTTCTAAGGGAAACATCACTATTTTCACCACCAGGAGTCAAGAATCTATTGCCAGAGACTGCCTGCAGCACTTCAGTACACAGGGCCCCCCCAAAGCCGTCTCCCACGTCAACTGTGAGTACTCACGTTTCTGGGGAAAGAGCGGTGGGATGCGGTGAGGCTGGAACAGCAGCTGAGGCTGGGCGCCAAGGATTCCCTGTTTCTGTCCCAGGGACGCCATGTGCAGAAGAGGTGCTGGGGCCTTCAGGAGAGGCTGCAGAATAAAGGCACGGAGGAAGTCAAGGCAGTAAATCATTTCCCAGCCTGCCAGGCTAGCTCTCAGCCGGGAAGCAGGCTGGGTGGAGGGGAAGGGCGAGGACAGAGGAGATAAGAACGTGCCCGAGGCAGTCTTCACGGGGGCTCAGTACCTGGTTGGAGAGCGTCTGGACTTTCAGCGCGTTCCAGGGTACCGCCTGGCTTGGGTTGTAGACAGCTTTCACCAGCACCTTCTCCCCGATCTGCGGTATCCGGCCCTTCACAACGCTGACCCGAAACACAACAACGGGGGCCCTCCGTTAGCGTTCCCAGTCCAGCGTAGGCCCCTTCCAGAGCGCAGCGGCGGGTCCAGGGCCTCGGCTCTGTCGGAGCTTCACCTCTCTGGGATGCACGCGGCGCCCCGCACCCACACGGCAGCCCTCTCCTCACCTGAGCTGGAAAAAGACCTCCTCGTCCACCACCCCGAAGTAATCGTGAAGGCTGGTGACGATGCCTGTGAAGACTCGTTGCTTCTCGCCCACCTGCAAAGCAAAGGGGTGAGGGGTGAGCTGCTTCCCAGCTGCCCTGCGCTTCCGCCCCAGGCGCTCTTTGCTCCAGCTCAAAAAGGAGCCGGCTCTTGCCGGAGCCCTGGCAGAACCTCAGAAGGAAGTGCTCCGCCAGCCACAGGCTTAACCGGCGAGGAGGCTTCTCCCCGGAGAGCCTGGGAACAGCCCCGAGCAGCCGCCTCGCCTCCCCGGAGCCATCGCCCCCGCGTACCTGCAGGTGCCGCGCCGTCTGGAGAAGCTCCGCCGAGACCGGAGGGTTCAACAAGCCGGGCGGGGGTCCCAGCAGCGAGGTCTGGGGCGTCCCTGGAAGGGAAGGGGGACAAGTCTGAATCC